AGTAACAGATATTTGGTTAATTTTCAGGTTTACCCTTGAACTACGCGACTGAGAGAAAGCTATAAAAGTATTTTGCGTTAGCTGACAGGTATATCGATAACTGTACATCAGCTGCGTTGGTATGGACCGAGGAAAATTCTGCTTCTTCAGTATTTTATGTTTTATTCCTGGGTATTTGATTCTATTTGATTAAGAGCCTGGTCCTTGCTCTCCCTTCGCCGTGAACCTGAGTACAAATGGCGTTCATGCTGGCTTCTTTGTAATTACATACATTCTGGTTACTCACAGATTTACTACGTTTCTTATTTTATGGAAATGACCGTGCAACCTAACATTTACAAAAGTTAATTCGTAGAGTGAGTTCATTTAGTTTCTTTCATAGCGGACTCCATTGTATTTTTATGTTGATGTCTGTAACATTGCGCGAGTTTAGTATTTATTATTATTATCATTATTTGCATGATAAGCAACCATATTTGATTAAACCTGGTACCATAAACACACAACTTTGACTTTTGTATGTCCATAAATTATATTAAAATGGAAAGCTCTGCACATAATTGTCGTTAAATTCCGTACACTCGTGATACGAGTTACGTTAATTGAATGATTTTAAACGAAAGATATATATCAAAGCAAAGTCTGAGTTCGCAAACATGTATCTGACGTATTTCCTATTCGGAATGGTCTAAAACGAGATGCTTCATCACTACTGATTTTTAAAACTGGTGTGGAATGTGTCTTTAGGAATAGTCCATAAAACAAACACTGGAAATATAAGTATTATAAAGAAAAACGTGGAACCTCTAGATGCCTGTAAGGTAGGATGTCAGAAATAAAACGCAGAAAAATTAATTAGGATGAGAAACACGGGCGTATATCGTGCACGAGAGAGAGAGAGACGAGAAATGCATACGAAGTTTTTGTCGCAAAACCAGAGGTAACAGCTACTTGAAGGCCACTGACATAGAAGATAGGATAATATTAAAGTGTTTTTTTAAAGAAATACGTGAACTGTATTAATATGGCTCTTGTAAACACGACCATGAACCCTCGAGTTTCTGGCTTCTCAGAACTGTTGTTCCATTGGCTTGGGTAGTTTCAAGGGTAAAGATGTTAGGTTAGGTTTCTTCTCTGAAAATAAACGTCAGGTTTTCCAGGTATACCTAGCGAGACAATAGTGTTTAATGAGATCTGACACATGGACTAAACTTAGAAGGGGAGGGGGTGCAGTGTGTAATAACACGTTTACGTCTCCCATGCCATCCAGCACACTACCATTTTCCAAAGCTTCTTCAGTACGCAGAGAAACTCTTTACTGGCATTTTTGTAATTTACCCGAAAAACATACGAATTTCCTGTGTTATTTTAAAAGATTCCAAACAGGGACACATGTTCGTGTCAACAGTGGGTTGTGACGTCGCGTTGGTTTTTATGTGACTAATAACGTTTCTGACGATAATATCACCTTCGTCTTCAGGGGTGAAGTTTGTGTTGTTAGTCAGAAGGCTATCTACATTTTTAACGCCACGAAAATCCCAAATCTCAAACATTGAACATATTTTTCTGTATCTGCTTTGCGTATGTACGTAGGCCTATGCAGTATAATGCATGCATCTGGATCAACTTGAAACTTTATTCTAAAAATCAGTGAAAATTGGATGTAATTTGTTTCCTCCCATAAATAGTATATCAATGACATTATAATTTAAGACTCATTACTAGCTTAAAGAACAAGTGTCTTTACAAGAAAGATATCAGCATTATTTGTTATATATGTAATTTGTTTCCTCCCATAAATAGTAAATCAATGACAATATAATTTAAGATTCATTACTAGCTTAAAGAAACAAGTGTCTTTACAAGAAAGCTATCAGCATTATTTGTTATATGAGCTAATATTGGAAGTTGTTATGTGTTCCTTCCAAATACTGAGGCTACACTTCTACTCCCTCGTTTAATTTTTACGGAACAGTCAAAATTTCACAACTAATTAGATGTTCTCTTTTCAGAACAGTAGACGCATCTCTGAAATAAATAATACGTAATAAACTACAGTAAAACACAAAGACGACCAGCGTCGATCTTACACTGATTTAAAATGGCCAGTAAGCATAATTATATTCGATCTAATAAATTGCAGTTTCTTTCCAGAAATTTAAAATTAAACTTTATTTAAATAACCGGCAAACGAATGGAAGTGATATTTCTACATTTTTCGCCCCCACACTCGATGGTAGCTTAATGGTTCTTACGTGATGTAATCTAAACAAAATTTGGTATATGTAATTCTTCTATACCATAAGTAATGTTTACACAGCTATAACTCGATTTACAGAGCCTTATTTATGAAGCATGGTGTGTCAGGAAAAGTGGTGTTCAGTCTGAGGCTTTATGAAAGCCAGTTTAACCTTTGACCTTCTGGCCTATATATAACCTCAGTAGTGAGTTTCAAAGCTTTATCAATAAACAACCTTAGGAAGGTGTTAAATGGTTCGGGGACTGATAATGTCATGCCTGTAGATTTTGATGTCTAGAGAATCTGGAGTAATGCCATTAGAGTGCCTGCGCTTTAAGAGCACTTGTCTTAAAGAATATACAAGCATCTAACTCTAACGTGACCTCACGACTGGCGTGTGGCAGACGCGGACCAACAGATTGCTCTCAGCTAACACGAGAAACCTGTAATCCAGATACATCATTGATGTCGGCCTCCGCTGCTATCCAGGTTTTGCGAAGCTTTGGGATACGTGACATATGACATTCAGAACCAGGACGCGTTGCAACGCGATAATGAAGGCGGTGGGGCGACAAATCAGACGAAATGCAAAACAATTTTGGATCTGTGCAACTGTAATCATCGACACTTTTTCTCACCTGACTGAAGTGTGGTACAGCCCGGAATTAGGGCATATCTACAGCAAAAATTCTTTCGAACCTCAATAATGTCTTCGCCGGTCTTACTAGAAAGATCAATCGGTTTAAAGTTGACGTTAGCTGCAGAGATTATTCGCGATTATCAACACAGAAAATATATAAGGCCCGATACTTATTAGAAAATATTTTAACCTATATTTTCTCTACATCGGTTACAAATGACTCTTGTTCTGGAGCAAATGTTTGGCGTAACATTTAGCGTAAAAAATAACTTAATGGTTGTTTGCGCAGTTAAACGCCGGTCACGAACCCGGGCCCCCGCATTGAGAGACCTATCTCTCACTGCGGGGGCCCGGGTTCGTGACCATGTCAATCTATGTGGGATTTTTGGTGGACAAAATGGTTTTTTCTCCAGTTCTTACGTTTTTCCTTTTTAATATTATTTCCGTGCCGCTCCGTATTTATTCGTTTATCGTATGCAGATGGAGAGTGGGCACATAAGCGGCCCAGCTCCACACAGATCTAATCTCACTCCATAGCAATAAAAAAGTACTAAATGTTTTTATGACCATAATTCTTTGCCAACTGGATACATCGCTACAGAGAGCGTTGGAATTGAAGTAGGGCGGGTTATGTTTTGAATAATATTTCTTATGATCCACGAGAGAATGAAAAGGGAAATAAAGCAGGTAGGGATCAGGAATAATTAAAAGTATATTTGAAGAAAACGTAAGAAGTGAAGAAAGAACAACACGGAGTAGAAAAAGAAATCCAGATCCCAGGAGAAAAAATGCGCTATTGTGTCCGACACATCGATTAAGTAACAGTGGTTCGACGAACGTACTCAGTCAAACAGTGCCATCTGGACGACTTAGACTGACTCTGATAAGTAAACCAGCCAATGCAGTCAGTGAACAGAGCAAGTGCTTAGTTTCGACTTGAAATACTGACTGATTCTAATACTTAAGGCAACATTCCGATCGCTCATGAATTCTGATCAAACAGCAACTGCTAACATTAAGCAATACGAAATACAGGTCTATCGAAAGATCACGCAACCCATATTAAAATGTTTGTTAATGGTTGCAGTTCTGTATAATTCGAATGGATTAATAAACGCACAATATCGCTGTGACTACACAAGATCCCACGCAGGTCGCGCCAGTCCGTCAGTTGACTATCAACAGTCGAAGTGAAAGGATGTCTTTTTGACAAGAGCAGCGAGTGTTCATTGTCGAACACCACCTGGCGTCTCGTTCTTAACTTAACTTGCCGTAATGAGTCGAGAGATGCATTTTCCGACTCTCCTGTTTCAAGACAATGGACAATAAGTCGTCTGGGAAACCGTTTTAGCGACACAGGAAGGCTACAAGAGGGAGACCGAAATTCTTCACCGGGTTGCCTCAAACGCAAGGAACAGGGCTCATGAATTCCTGAATTCGGTGGACATTCCCAGAACCTAATATAACTTTGTCTTTTGTTTTCTAATTTCAGTGTAGTTTATTTTTTGACAAACAGATTATATATCAGGAATGGACTGAGCGACTTTTCGGTCACGACTTAACAAATTAATCTCAACCAACTCACAATATAATTAATTCAATACAAACTTCGGTGCAACTGGACTTAAAGATTGATACTGAAATCTTTCACTGCACTTATAACAGTAATAACGCTTTGACTTGGCGAAACGTGTTCGCAAAAACCACGTGAAATGAAAAGTAGTGTTGCGATAACAGACACGTTCATAGTTAACGAGTAGATTTGGTAAACCATCTAATACAACATGCAACAAATGTATCATTAGCGTTAAAATGCCCTACACATTTGGGCGAAATTTCGCCATTCCCAGGGGCTATTATTAACAGTTTTACATTTGTTATAAAGTTCACATACTGAAACGTCATAACAGCTACTTGTATCTCTTCAATAGATGGTATTAATAATTCTTGTACAATAAGACGTTTTCACGATTTTTAATCCTGTCCCATAATCTTGTTTAATGACGACATATATCATTTTGTTTCGCATGGTATTATATTTGGTTCAGGGTATCGTAATGTTTACCCGTCCTAGCGGAATGTGTGTTGACGACGCACGTGCACTGAGGACCATCGGGGGATGATGGTGGTGTGCTGGTCATGAAGCCGGCATACACGGACTGGGCCGCCTAGTAGCAGCATAGCAGCACAGCGGCCTAGGTCTGGGCGCAACCACTCAGCATGGTGTCCACCAGAGAATGAAGAAGCAAAACGTCCGGACCTTGTCCTTGATAGTCTGCACGTTCACATATCTTCTTGTGGGAGCAGCAGTCTTCGACGCTCTCGAGTCAGAAACTGAGAAAAGACGCTGGGATGTTCTAGACGGTGAGCCAAGCACGTGCTTCTGATAACTGAACGCACGGCTGCGCGTTGGAGGAACTTTCGGGGAGATCACAACGGACGGCTCTTGTCATTAATATCGTTTATAGACAGCTTGGTATTCCTGCCATCCGCTGGCCCTGACTTGCATAACACCAAGTTTATTACAGCTCGTTACAAACGGCAATACAAAGGACTAAAACGAACGCGTTCTCTCCAAAGGTAGCCGTGCCAGATGTTATCGTGCCAGTACGAAGTGATACCTCCTGAGGAACATGATAGCTCGTGACATCCAGTATATGTGTCACAATTTGACGTAGAAGAGCTCCTCTTCCAACTCCGATCCCTTTTGTGGCAAAGTATTAGCATGGGTTGAGGGTGTGTGATGCTCTGTATTTTGACCAAAAATTTCGAAATGTCCATCGTGGTCTTCTGGGTTGTGATATTTGCAGAATTGTAGATGGTACCGACGATTCGGCGAGACATACTGCTTCAGTCTTCAGGGATGAAGTTGGAGGCAGCATGTTTCTTGAAACGTTGGCAAATCCAAACTGTGTCACAATCAGAAGACCACAACGCCGTCAAGACCCCGAATTCGAGGCGCAACCTCAACTTACAAGAATTTTTAAAAAAAATCTTCTAACGCCTTTGTGCTTGTTCCTTGAACAGTTGCTTGGAATCCTCCCATAAAGCTCATCAGCAAACTATTACCGAATACAAAGTTCTGCAAATTATGTTGCTAGGAGCTAAAGTTTATGTCTATGTGAATCTAGTTTATCTTTCACGAACATTACAATATCGAAAAGGTTAATGTAATATGAAAGCCATTTTTGGTCTAGCGGTTAGAACGCTGGCCTTGTAATCCTGGGGTCTCGGGTTCGATTCCCGGCGGTGCCCGAATTTATAACTTGTGTTGGGCAAGGCCGTGGTCTAGGCAACACGGAGTTTTCCTACGGGGGCTTCCCCGGTTTCTCCGTGGCATCCCAACAATTACTCCATCCACACACAGAAGAAGGCAATGGAAAACCACTTCTGGATCATCTGCCAAAA